TGAAATGGACAAAATGTCTCCTGAGGAGATGTCTGAAAAACAGCTGAAGAAGTATGTTAATTATCTTAAAGATGAGCTTGACAAAGAGCGCAAGCAGAGGATATGCTTTCAGCTGGATACAGACAAGCTTCACTCCTTTTTGGAAATATGCAGGAGGGACATGGAGGATACGAAACTGTTGCTGAGCCATGTTGATGTGAAGGCTAAGGAGGCCAACAAGCGCCAGCGTTTTGAGAGTGGTAGATATGAGGTCAAAGTGAAACATGCTGAGGTTGAACAGCATAACAAAGTGTCTGAGACAAGGAGAGACATTGCCATTTCAGCCTCTCTGACCCGAAACCTGCATTCTGAAACAGAGCTGGCTCTCCGTAAGATTTTTCAAAGTATCCATGAGGGCCACAGATATGAGGACGTCATGAAAGACAACAGTGTCATGGAGGTTAAAATAAAACAACGAATGGATCTCAGGGAGCTTACCAAAAATCATGACCAAGGAGTCAGAGAAATGGGAGCTGAATTCTGCAAGAAATACCAGCAAATGATCTTCACAGAGGAGAAAAAGCATGGTGAACAGGTAAGAAGACTAGAGGAAAAGTGGAAAAGCCATGCAAAGGAACTCACAAAGAATCATAAGAAAACTCTGAGAGTTGCGGCTGAGAAATTATCAATGGCACAGACTGAAGCACTAGTAAAGGAGAAGGCCTTGGAGAAGAAGGCAGCAGAAATTCAAAAGTTGCTGTCTCAAGCAGAAAAGGACGTTTGTGAAGCTCAGCAGGAGAATGAACTTTTGTGTGAGACTGTGCAGAGAGCTGAGCAGAGGTATGCTGATCTCCAACAAAATATTTATGATTTCAACCAGGCTAAGGGCAACATAGAAAAGAACAAAACTCGTATGAAGGTCGTTGTGAGTGAGCTGCGAGATGTGACAGTGAAGAATGAGTTACTACAACATACGTATGAAAAGCTTCAAGAGGACTGCAATGAAATGTTGAGAAAGCACCGGGCAGAAATTTGGGACCTGCAACAACAAGGGGCTCTCAAGGAGCAAATACTGGAGAGAAGACTGACATTTCTGACACAAACTGTCTAGAGGATTAAGTGCTGCAGGATTGCCCACAGGTAGCAGTATCAATAATTTCAGACTAGAAACTTACAAATATGTGCCACGTAGCATAATTCAAATGAAAATTACACACACAGCAAGACTTGTACATCCGAGCCAGATTTAAGGTCGTATCCATCCCCAGGGCATATGAAATATTAACTTACTTTCCAACGCCACATTTTGTGATGTACCTCACGTAGTCGGGTTGCTTTTTGTCAGATACTTGTCAGAAATTAAAAAAAGATGCTGAGACCAGGGCATTTTAGATTTTGTTTATGTGTTTGGGCAACTGACAACTGATTTGAGCAATTGGTTTTACTAGTTTAACAAGAATAGTTTGCGTTAAATGAATGTATCTACTCATTCATTCATTGTAAAGTTTGGTTAAGTGCATTCAAAAAGTAAAATTCGAACTTTGCCGAGAATCATTATGGATATGAAGTTCCATGGGAAAGAAACTGGTTCCAGTTTTGAGACGAAAGCCTTGCTCTCATGTAAGGCAACTGACAGTAACATTTTATCTCTCCAATGTCTTTTAAAAAAAAATCATATTATAGTGTACATAACTTAATTTTGTAATATACGTCATTTATTTGCTGAGAATTTAAGTAAAACTCACTCTGCAGCATCAAGANAAAAACAGGACACAGACACTAATGTTTAATTAACTTCTCTGCGTTTACATGACAGTTCTGTCAAAAACTTGACCAATTTATGCTAGCATTGCTAACTTTAGTCCGTTGGTAGGAGTGAGATGCTGCCACTGCTGCTTCCAGCTGAACAAATGGGCAGCAGCAAAAACGAGAGCGAGAATTAAATATAACATGTAATATTACTATCAGATATTAATTTTACGCTGCCATCAACCTATGTGTTTTTTGCCATTCTTTTGTAAAGCATTTACAGCATTGTATAATATATGCTGTGTTAAATTTCATTACTTCCATATGTGCCCCGCTTCAATGACACTGTGCCCCCCTAGTGGACGCCTCCCAACACTGCATTAAACAATATTATTGAAAGCATTGTTAGTGTATAACAATTCAACAAATGATCAATCATCAGTCATTTCTTGACATTTTGACAGTTGACTTGAGAATTTACTGATGGTATGTTTTGCCTAGTACATTTTGTGGATAAAAAGAAAAGAAAGTTTCTGCTATTTATATCTTTTGTAGCAGTGATGTGAGCATTTAAATTTAGAAGCTAAGTCCTTTTTCAAATCCTTAAGATTATTTAGTCCATCAAATAATGTTAAGCAAGGTTCTCGTGAATACTTCATGGACTGCCATTTAAAATATTTCAATGTATAACTAAGCTGATGGCATTACTTTGCCGACACTGACATTTTAGCACTGCCTCTGACACTTAGCATAATAAAAACCATAGTCAAAACCATAAACACATCCATTCTTGCCTGTGTGCATGTGCCCATGCGCTCACACTTGTTTCCACAGCTTAAACTTTAGGACTCAATCCTAAAAGTTTTATCATTTTAAATAATGTTGAGGAAGGTTTGGTTCCAGAAGTATTATTTAAGAATATATTGCATTTGTCATAGCAACAACAACATAAATTCCATTAAAAAGATTATTTGAGTTGCACAATTGTCCGGCAAAAAATCCAGCAACAATACATTTATGTTGGAACCAAACAACAAATAAAGACTGAGATTACAATGTTTTTGTAAACACTGAAGATGGCATCCTATTTATATTTTGTTTTCTGTTAATGTTCACTTTACTAGAGGCATGACTTAAAAGCATTTGTCAAACAGAACTTAAATACATGGCCTGTTGCTTTTTGTTTTTTTTTAAATATGTTGTTCTCATCCTTCCACAGAGGTTCACTGACTGCCACAAGCGTCTGGATTTTGGAGGTTGCTGCCAAAAAGGCAAGTGTCCTCGGCTTTGATATCTATCTTTTTAGTCCAAGAACCAGAGACTTTAACAAGCTACATTACTTTGTTTGGATTTTATATGTTTTTCTAATCACAAGTGTCTCCTAATGTAAATAAACAAATTAACAGCCTGGTTGGCTCTAAATGATTCAGTCTCGTTTTTTCTATTTTTTCATCATGAACATGTGGTCTGGTTTAATCTAAACCAACGCAGATAGGCAGTGGTGGGTAGTAACGAGTTACATTTACTCCGTTAGATTTATTCGAGTACATTTTTCACAATAAGATACTTCTATGAGTAGTTTTAAATCACTATACTTTTACTTGAGACGATTTATGAAGAAGAAACAGTACTCTTACCTCCGCTACATTAGGCTACACTGAGCTTGTTATTTTTATCAGAGATACTGAATAAAGCTTTAGCTATCCTGTATCCAGTTCTCTATTCATCCATGATCCAGTATCTCTCCATGTATTTTGTCAGAGGTAGACTTCTGCCCAAGGCTCTACTGCGTGACTGTGTTTAACCAATAAAACAAAGCCCTTTTTGCGCAATCTCGTCACATGACCATACTCAATCTCAGCGGCGGGACAGGTTAGCTTAGTGGCTACTGCGGTCGATATCCACCGTCTGTGATAGCAAAAAATGGTAGAATCAACGGTCGACAATGTAGACGAGGAGGAACGTCTAACCTGAGGAAATATGTTGCGAATTTATTTTTATATATATATTTTGTAAATATTTTTCATGTACTTGGATTAACCTAAAGATTATTTTAAGGTATTTAATTAATTTGCTTTATTTTATTGATAGGATAAACACTGTAACTCAACAGGTACTCAAGTACTCAAGTACTTTTTTACTCTTACTCAAGTAATTATATAGATGACTAATTTTTACTTCTACTCAAGTAATATTATTCTGAAGTAAGAGTACTTTTACTTGAGTACAACTTTTGGCTACTCTACCCACCTCTGCTGATAGGTTTCATCAGAAATGTGAAATGCATTAATGAGATGAGATGTTTAATGCATTAAATTAATGGTTCTTAAACTGAAAACTGAAAGTTCTTAAACAGAGAAGGTCTATGTGTGTTTGCATCAGTTCGTCCATACCTGACCCGTGGATTACTACCTGAAAAGCTGTTGCAAATAATAGGCAGATACTTGTTCGAGCAGAAAACTCTTCTTTCGCTAAGCTCTTTTCAATGCAGTTAAAGGGCATAGCACTAGCTAGCTATGCATCTCCTTCGGCTGTCAAAAACATGTAGTTACCTTGTATCTGTGAGAATACCCGTCCCCATTTTTTGCTGTGGAAGTAATTGTTGCTCTTGTTAATTTTGAAATTTCTCAGCTTTCTTACCATTTATGCCTCCCGAAAAGACAGTCAAATCAAGTCAGTTTTATTTTGTTTAGCCCAGGTTTACAGATCACATTTGTCTCATTGGACTTCACAATTTTAAATAAGGATTGAACTTTTAAAATATCCTTCTAAAATCCCCATTTAAAATGTGGAAAATGGAGGTCTATACAGTCAATGTCTATATTGAGTTAGCAGAATAAAGGTACAGTTGCACACTGAGTAAGCAATTTAGCAACACAGTCCAAAAACATTCACGAGTAGCTTAATGTAAACTCCATGGGTCTCTGTGTGATGGAATAGTAAACACTAACCAGAAGCTCTTACATATGGAGTATGTCTTTGTTATGCAACAGACAACCGGTAATTATTCTATTCCAGATTTAGATCCACAAATGTCAGTTTGTACCCATGCATGTTTCACATATGATAAATGATTCTCCCGAAATGTAAAGTGATACTGCTAGTCTCACTCTATTGTGTTATTCATAATAAGGTTAGTCAGAGATCTTTAATGCGATATGCCATTTAGTAGACATATAATAGTTTATATTGACATATTTTAGACAAACATTAATAGACAAATCACTTTATATACACATTATATACAGACTATTGCTATTGTCTAGCCCCAAAATGCCAGTAGCTGCATTTGTAGTACTGTGTGGCAAACATTGACATTTTTCACTTCTTTTTTTTTTAACTGCAAATGTTTCATAGTGAAAGCTTTTTTTAATAAATTAAAAGATTATATTAATTGAAAAGCTAGTTGGCTTTTCATTTCAAACAGATACAGGAAGTATTCAGATGGTATGAGCAGCATAATGCAGTGACAGAAAAATTGACAGGACCGACATGAGAAGATCAGGCAACAAGGAGGCTTAAGTAAAGTATTAAAAATTACCAAATAAATATTAAAAATATACTGTATTTTAGCCCAGACATCCAGTATAATATTTCAAGTGTATTTATTTAAACAAATAAAGTCTATTGTTAATGTCAGTAATGCAAAACAAAATTCCCAGTTGAAATAAAATAATCACTTCAAATTAATCCCCTCAGCAATTCTTAAATGACCACGGTAAGTAGAAAACACCGTGCAAACCAGCAAGGTTTCTGCTTTCTTTTTCCTCTTCTTTTATTTTCTGTTGGTAGTGAAAAGGAGATCCTCTTGATTAAATATTTACTAATTGAAAAAGATCCAGCAGGTGGCAGTGACGGAGCACACAGGTTTCCGATGTGCTATTAAATCCCAGATGAGTATTTCTGAGATTATCAGGTCAAGGTGAATTTTGCCTAGCTTTCACGGAGACTGATAACTGTCATCAAATAAAATATTAATGGTAAATTAAAAAAAAAAAAAAATGTATGTAAGTAAAAAGCTTTTGCAGCCACTTCAGATTGTTCTGTAAAATGTTCCTCATCATCACAAATGAAACAAGAAAATTAGTGTCAGTCTTAGATTTTTACCATGTTACTCTTGTATCTTGTATCACCCCACTTCTGTCCACAAGGTTAAGTAAAAAGTAAGTTCCGGAACTTCTCTGTATGCTGGTGAGTCTTTTTAATTTACAGTCACTATATAATCAGAGGCAGTTAGCTTTACTAAGTTAGTATGTAATGTTTAACCCCCCTCCACTAATAATAATAATAACAATAATATTACATTACAATAAATTTAGCAGGCACTTTTATCCAAAGGCCTCCAGTCACTAGGTGGCAGCATCGTATTCAGTGGTTTGTACAGATAAAATATTACACTTTATCAGATTTTCAATAGTATTTTAAATTACAAGGGTGTGGGTCGGAGGGTGGCGTGAAAACATTTATGTCTCCAAGGGGTGGCATGATAGAAAATTACACTTAAAATTACCACTGGTTTAAATGGTTGGCTCTCATCCATCTAGGAAGTCAGAAATAATAAAATCGTAAAATACATTTCAAGTTAAATTGAGATGCATTTAAACTGAACACGTGATCAGACAGTCAGTAGGAAAAAATTCCCAGGAACTATGTAGGAACTATATGAAGCTTTATGTTGGATTATTTCTCTTTGGGAAAATGTTTGAGATGTGCACACTGACTGTTGAGAACACAGACATTTAGAACATTTGTAGCAATATTGTGCACCCGGTTTTTCAAGGCGCTTGGCAGGTTTTGCCTGTCATGGATACCTTTTAGCAGTTCTTGTGTGGATTTAAGGTTGTCTCAGTTGCTTCTGTCTCTTTAGGTAATGAAGCAAAGGCTTCATTGAATCAGTCTGGGATTTTTCAAATGACACTGTATTAGCTCTTCTCAGTAATTCTCTTCTCTTCAGTAATTTGTGCTGCTTACATTTGTTGTACAACATTTAGGAGTGTTGTCATAGTTGTTTTACTTTGCCTTTACATCAGTCATGAACAGAAAACAAACAAAATCCAAAAAAGAAAAACAACGGGGCAGGACATGAAAGAGGACTTACATTGGGTAGCCATTTGAAATGGTACTGTATGTGCATCGAACGTGTATTGTTTTGTTGAATGCTAAACTTATTTCTTAATAACAGTTGCATAAAACATGCACATGATGATAAGAAAATGAAAAGGGATGTTCACCTATGACAGCAGACTTTTCTACATATCAAAATGATTCAACTTAAACTGTCTTCTGGATGTAAACAAACTAAAACTCTCGTGTGCTGACAAATATTACAGCAAAAATCATTAACAGTAATACAATAACAAAACCAAAATGTCACAACTGTTTGTTTTTTTTCAGTTTAATAAGTGTAATAAAACAATGTCATCTCTTCTCCTATAATTTTTTTCTTGGTTGTAATACATGAATAAACAAAACATTTTTTAAAATGCAGATATGTAGAAACTGTTTGTTTCAGACAAATGCCATAACAATGTCAGTAGAACAGTAATCGCCAGACAGGATTGTCAAACGTTGTCAAACTCTTGGCTAAACTCGGGGTGTAAGCTGTAGGTGCATGGTAACTCAAGAACAACTCCACATGTGGGTGCTACAAGGCCTGCGACTTAAACCACGCAATCTAACAAAAGTTACTTCAATTGTGTCACAGCATTAGCTACAGCGTAAGAAGATCTCCAGGTTTCTTTGGTTGATGCTTCTCATATACGTAGCAGGTGGTTAAGAGCTGTCGGTTGATGGCTTTATCGTCCGGGCCACTTTCTTGTTAGTTGGCCGCTTAGATTCGAAAAGCTCCATTATGCTTTCTTTTTTTATGAGTGTTGGCACAGCATTGTGAATGCTGGAGTGGAAACAGTCAATTATGAACTTTGGCTCTTGAAGAAGAGCTTTTTGTGCCATTGTTAAAATGGAAGTCTGTAGGTTGCCTTTAGAGGGCAGGCAGCGTGAGCCCATTCTTGAGAGGACGTCGCGTAAGTCCTCTTCAACAGTTTCATCAAAACCTGTAGTGCTTTTTCCAGTGATGCACGCTCATTCTCTAAAAGAAATCTGGCAAATGACATCATCAAGAGTTCTTCATCCACTGAAGCAAGTCCTTGACAACAGGCAAGAACAAAAGCTGGTGACAGTCTGACTGGTATGATTTTGTGGTCCAGGTATCCTTTCAACCACACTCTTCCAAGAACTGGCCATGCCTTCTCAAAATTGTCTGGTCGTAATCTAGGTACTCGTCCATCTTCCCCCTCATACTTTTCCAAGAAATGATCCCAGAACGTGGAGTATACCTCTCTTGACACGGCATCACTGTCCACAGCTTTCTCATTTGTAAACTAAATTTTTAGTTTAGCATTAAGTCGTTTTGGTTCCATGCAGATATTAAGGACATCATCAACTATGTTTACTCGTCTTAGTTTTAAAAGGAGTTCTTTTTCAAATGGGTCTGGTGGTACTGGAAGACTGCTTGACGATACAGGTCTGTCATTCAGTTTAGAGTGCTGCAAGAATTTTTATTGTCTCTTACCTGGTAGCTCCATCTCTAGCATTCGTCTACCAATGTATCCACTGTCCCTCCTCCGCACATGTCCAAAGCATCTCAATCTGGCTTCTCTAGCTTTTTCTCCAAACCTTCCTGTCTGTGTTGTCCCTCTAATGACCTCATTCCTGATCCTGTCCATCCTTGTCACTCCTACAAAGAATCATAGTGTGGCAGTTGAAGGATGACTCTGAGGCGCAGGTGCTCTACTCTTCTTTGTTCG